GGGATTGGGCCTGCCCTCTGCCACCCGGGAGCAGGCCTAAGCCAGCAGGTCGTTATCTCCCGAGGGGTCCCAGACTGCAATAGGGCACAGGTCGGTCTGAGGGACCCCCCCCTTCCCCCGAGTGCACAAATTTTTGTGCACCGGGCCTCTAGTATATATATAAAAGTGTAATATGCAAATCTACTGGACGGCGGAATGACCAGCCAGCTCTGACATGCACTGACCAATAGGGGGCAGACGCTCAACTCAGGAGCTGCCCCTAGCCTGCAGACCCTGATCGCCTGATGGGAACCGGGGGTGGGTGGCAGTGGACATGGGTGGCGCTGGGGTCCTGATTGTCCCGCCGGTCGCCCACACACACAGGGCAACTGGCAGCAGCAGTGGGGGTAGGGGGGCCAGGCCGGTGAGCGGACAGGAATGGCTAACCTCTTGGTCTTTTCCCCCCGGTCGGCAGACTCCTATTGCCTGATGGGGAACCAGGTTGGGGAGTGGCGGTGAACGTGGGTGGTGCCGAGGCCTGTTTGCCCACTGGTCGCCCCACACACAGAGGTGGGTGGAGAGTGGGGCTGGCTGCCAGCAGCCAGGGAAGATCGGCCCTGATTGCAGGCCAGGCCTAGGGACCCTATCCATGCACAAATTTTGTGCGCCGGGCCTCTAGTGTAATTATAAATTACTTCTTCAACTATAAGCTGGAATCCTATCTAATAAAAGAGTTACATGCAAATTAACCGTCATTCTGTGAAAAGATGGCGGTGCCCATAGCGGCTGGGGCAGGATGCTGGCGGCATCACCCCGGCAATGTGAGCCCAGCAGGCAAGCTCGGCCCGCAGGCAGCACCCAGCAGGGCCTGCTTGCCCTTCGCCGTGATGTGGAGCAGGCAGGCCCCACAGAGAGCAGAGAAACATGGGGAGCGGGCCCAAGTCGTCAGTAGGACATCCCCTGAGGGCTCCCGGATTGGAGAGAGTGCAGGTCAGGCTGAGGAATCCCCCACCCCCCGCACAAATTTCGTGCACCAGGCCTCTAGTACTTCTATAAAGAGAAAATTTTCCTTCATCTGCTCTTTTGACTGCCTAGTGGTACAATTCTATATAAGAGAAGCAGAATTAAATGGCTTGATTCTTTCCCTTTATCACTAGTTTTGAAATTAATTGGCTCATTAGAAGTTTCTATAGATTATTATATAAAGGAAAATTTTAACTTATAGTTAATAATATTGTAATATCTCTGCATGGTGACACATCATCACCAGACTTAGTGTGGATATCACATCATAAGGTATATAAATGTCCAATCACTATGTTGTGCACCTGTAACAAATATAATGTATGCCAACTTTACTCTTTTAAGAAGCAAAATTTTAATGTGTAATATTTATTAGCTTTAAGCAATATAGAGAAGTAAAAAAGATGAATACAAAAAAGATGAATACAAAAAAGAGTTCATGTCTCCTTTGGCCATCTAGCCTATAATTTAAAAAACAAAACAAGTAATATAGAAAGATAAAAAAAATGAAAAGTGAAAGTATCTTGTCTCCTTCCTTCAGTCCCCTTTTCCCAGTGGTAAACATCATTAAGTTTTGAGTTCTCATTCAGAAAGAAGGGATCATGCTGTGTACATGATTCTGTGCCTTTCTCTTTTTCACTATTAAAATATCCTGGAGGTCTAGGAGAGCTTTTCATATCAGCATATACAGGTGTTTCACTCTTCTTAATGGCTGCATAGAATTCCATTCTGTGGATTTACCATAATTTGTCTGGTTCTCTGTTAATAGATTCTTCAGCCCCTTTCTCCCTCCCTCCTTCTTCCCTTTCTTTTTTCCTCCCCTCCTCCCTCCCTCCTTAGTACTTAATGCTATAGTGTATTTTTGTATGTCTGTCTTGATGAGCATTTGTTTATTCTTAAGGTAATGTTCTAGTATTATACATTTTGAATTATTTTATATGTAGTCATATTTTAAATTATTTCTAGAGAAAGGGAGCATAGGAACACTGATACTGAAGTTTGATGAGCTTAAACATAGTAATTACGCAAAATTAAGTTACTTCTTTATCAGGGCTGTAAGACTGTTTATCTGATCATTCTAATATATCAGAAATTAGTGTTGGAGAAAATATAATGACATATTCAATTTGTGTTTTATTATGGGGAGGGGGGAATAAATGTTTTGTGGAGAAGTGCTGAACTTCTCTTCTTTTGTACTTAGAAGTATCATTTTTCTTGAGCACAAAACACAGGAAATTTAAACAGTGACTCCTATTTATCAGTTAGCAATCCTAACAGTCTGACATCATGTGCAGTAAATTATGAGATTGCAAAAGCTGGGGGAACCTATCCCATTGTAAATAATTTGGCATATTTATTTATTTATTGATTGATTGATCTTTAGAGAGGAACAGAGAGAAACATTGATTTGTTGTTCCACTTACTTACGCATTCATTGGTTGATTCTTGTATGTGCCCTGACCAGGATCGAACCTGCAATCTTGGTGTATTGGGATGATGCTCTAATCAACTGAGCTACCTGTTTGGCATTTTTAGTGTGTAAAAGCTGTTGTCAGATAAGTGGTCACTATTTGACAGAGAAATTGGAGTGTGAACCACTATGGTCCTTCTGATTTATAGTGTCTGATGGGTACTTTATATTAATAAATATACAAAAGAAAATTAAGTGGTCCTGGAGAACTGCCTGGAGGTCCTGGAGATGTTCCCACTGCCCAGGAACCCCGACTATTAAAGACACGTGAATAAAAGAACAGTGAGACAGTTTGTTAGCACCCTAACTGGCCCACTGCGACAAAAGTATGGGACACAGGCACCCTGGAAACGGAGGCTTTCTGGCCAGTTCCCATCAGTGACTTGAGAAACTTTCCGGGGTGACCGCACTAGAGCTTTCTTCCTCAGAACCTGGGTTGTGGGTTCCTGGGTTCCCTCTTCTCTGTGGACTCCCACAGTGCCTCACCTGTCACACACACTACACTGTAGACATGTGGTCAGTCCTTTTTGCTTGACTACGAAGGAATCTTGGGGTATGTATAAACTATGTGCAGGTTAGAGGAATTGAGGTCTGACTCATCTTCCACTCTTGCATTCTTCTTATTTCAGTACATTTTTAAGGCTAATTTTCTTTGTGCCTGGTTCTTTGAGTTATTTTCCCTTTCTTGCTAGACTCTTATTTTCTGTCAGATGATCAACATTTCCTAAGATCCCATGGTTACTGAGAGAGCAGAGGCCCTTCTCTTTGATTCAGGGACTTCTTTCCACAAACGAGCTTTCTCAACCATTCAAATGCCAAGTACTAGTCAGTGCTAGACTCTGCTCCCCTAATTTTCCTGTTCCTGCCTCTGCCTTTATGGGTATCCAGCCTGTGGCAGGAGAGATCAGATCCCCTGAACCGAACTCACTTTCTCTGTTTTCTCATTTCTTAACCCTTGTTGGAATTGAGTATCCTCTAAAAGCTCTAGTCTTTCTTTCACACAGCTCTTTCCTCAGCATCGCTTCGTTGGGGCTGCCAGGAGTCTCTCCACTCACCTCCTGCCAGTCACCCAGCCTGCACTCAGCCTTACTCCTGGCCCTTGCACCGCCTGGTTCATTCACCAGCTTCACTGCTCTGAGGGTTTTTTTTTTTCTTGGACAGGACAGAGGAGGACAGTACAAGCTTCTTAGGACTTTAAGTGATGTTAGGAGATGGGTGACTTGTCCTCCTTTGCTCTCCCCTCCTTTCCACCAACCACATCAGTGACTTTTTATTTCATTACCCACTGTCACATTTCAGGCTTTCTTTGACTATCATCACAGCTTCTGCCATATCTATGCAGCACTTTGAAAGGATTTTGATTTTTGAAATTTAATTTTGTCCTAAACAGAGGTATCTGTTAAGTCATGTGTTGGTGATGCTCAACACAAATTTTAATATTTGTGAGAAAGATATTTATCGAGTTAAATAGTCTTTATCATATAAAACGTGCATGTGTAAGGTGTCAGAAGGGTGCTGGTGGTTGATGAAAGGACACTAACAGACTCAGGGAAAGTGTAAAGGATTAAAGGACCTAACCCAGTGAGAATGGCTCTACAAAGCAGGAGGCCCAGCACTCTGTCCCATTGGCAGGGCCAGCTGCCCCGGCTGTCAGTTCTCATAAACAGGCCCTGCTGCCAACGATAGTGCCCTCTGGGGACTGGCTCCCTCAGGCCTAGCTATTCTCACCGTGGTGACAGTGCTGGGTCCTCTGGGTTCCTTTGTTTTAGTGGTGATCTTGCCTGCCCAGCAGTGTGAGTAACTGCTCACAACCTCAGCACATTCCTCAATTTTTATGGCAAGATTGGGTAACTTGAAGATCAGCATCTCAGATGTATCGTCTTCCTCGCAGGCTTCATGTCTGCATGTCATCTGTTCCTCCAGGTACACTTAACTCTACACTTTGGTCGGCCTTGAACTAGATCAATAAAAAGTAACTAGAAGGTTTGTACACAAATCACTTGTGGAGTTCCTCATCAAGTTGGACAATTTTGTCTTTAACCTTTGTTCGGGAGTTAAGTATTAAATATTATTCATTAAATAATATTACACTCACTGGAAAGAAGGGATACTTAAATGAGTAAAAGTAGCATATCTGTTTTGCCAAAATAGCATATATTCTTGAACTAAATGACAATTTTTCCCTTTAACTTTTTATTCTAGTCATTGTTTTTTGAAGTGTCAGTGCTATACATCTTGCATTCATTCAGCCATTTATATGTGAGCTACAGTTGCCAGAATTTGCTTACTAGTATGGAGAGGTCTATTTTCAGATTTAGGAAATTTCTGGAATGTAATTTCAGAAAGAAAAGGAAACCGCAAAGTGATTGGAAATTACCTTTAGTTATAATAGCTCTCATCCCCTTTCACCTATTCAAGGACATGCTCCAGCAGTTACTCCTCTCCTTCCATATCATCCCCCCCCCCCGCTATTAGTGTGCAAATAGTATAGAACCTTTATTAAAAAACACAAAAACCCCCAACTTTCTTGACCTGACATCTCCCCTTCAGATGCAACCCTATTTCTTTGTTCCTTTTATAGCAAAATTTATTTTAAAAAGTGTCCATATTTGCTATCTCCAGGTGTTAGGGTTTGTTTTCCCCTCTTTTTTCTAACTGAGGTCCCATTCACTCTGACCCAGTGGAATCGGGCTTTTTCTTTACGACCATGACACAGCTCTTGTCAAAGGTACCAATGTGCTTCACCTTCTTTGGCTTCTAGGAAATCCCCAGGCTGGTTTTCCTACCGCTTCACTTCTCCTTCAGAGTCCTCATCGCAGTCCTTCCTGTCTCCCCAATCTTTTAACATGGGAGTACCCCAGGGTTCAGTCTTCAGTAGGTCTCTTTTTCTAGCATTTATCTGATCCCATGACTTCAGCTTTCATCTGCTTGTGGATGATTCCTAAATTTTTATCTCCTTTGTAGATCTGAGCTCTAGTCTTAAATACGTAATTGCCAACTGTACTAGTATGTCTCCACTTGCTAAACTATTAAACTGATATGGCCTGTACCTCCAGACCTGCTAGTATTTCTTTCCCCTACTTTCACACTGCCTTGTAGGTGACTCTTCCTGACCTAATCTCTCCTACCTGCTAGCCTCTTTTGTTGTCCTTGACCATTATCAGAGATCCCTCTACACCTCCCTCCTACCATGAGATACATCAGTGTAATTTTGGGTAACACTTTCCTCTTAAGAAAAGTCTCTGGAAATTCCCTCATCATCACCATGATTTCATCTTCCTTCATTTAAAATTTTGTTCCTGGAGTGCTCCTTTCTCTGTGGAAAGTCTGTTAAGATAGCTAAAATAATTTAATCCTTTTTGTCTAAAAGATTGCCCTCTTTCCACCTGTTCCACATTTTATTCTGCAGAATGGATGGTCCAGTCTTACAAGAGATTCATGCTGGCTCAGCCCACCATAGTTCAGCTGAGCTGAGGCTGCCCTCAGTGGTGAGACAAAATGTGTCTTGAAAACCCGTCAATCTAATGTATGTCCTCTGGAACTGATACATAATAAATTGCTAGGAATGATTGTTTTTCCCCTGGAGATTTACTGAGGTCCAGCAATGGTGCTTTCTCCTACACAAATCAGTTGTGTGTTTCTTCAAGTTGGACAATTTTGTCTTTAATCTTCGTTCAGGAGCTAAATATTAAATATTACTTATTAATTAATATTATGTAGTATTATTTACTTAAGTTATACCTATTTACCTATAATAACTTTATTTTAAAAATATTTTTATTGATTTCAGAGAGGAAGTGAGAGGAAGAGAGAGATAGAAACATCAATGATAAGAGAGAATCATTGATTGGCTGCCTCCTGCATGCCCCTCACTGGGGATTGAGCCCATGATCTGGGCATATGCCCTGACCAGGAATCGAACCGTAACCTCCTGGTTCATAGGTTGACTCTCAACCACTGAGCCATGTCAACTGGACAACTTTATTATATAATATCTATATATACTTGTTCAGTATTTATCCTGGAGAGGATGGAGGAATAATGGAGAGAATAATGGAGTGGATGTTATGGTGAGCAATGTGTACAAAGAATGAACAAGTTAGGTAAGTATGCATATTAGTTTGTTTAGATAGAATTTCACTTATGTAGCAGGCTCTGCAGGAGCCCCATCCCTATCCCCTGGCTCTCTTGTTTCCATCTCTTCTATCTGTCTTTATCTCTTGAAGACTTTTTTGCTAAGAGCATTTGAGATGTGGCCTGAGGGCTTTTGTAGGCCACGGGAGCTCAGCCGCTTGCACTTGATGCAGGCTGGAAATTCTGAAAAGTTAATGGCTCTAGGAGAGCCATCTACCATTGTGTATTGAGAGATAGTGTATAAATACCTCTTCCTTGGTGGGACCATGCTGTGGCCTCCTCCCCTTCCCTGTCTCATGTTTCCATTCCCCTACCAGTGCTTCCATGGTCACATATTAACACCTGCACTCAGATTTGTGTGTCAGGATCTGCTGCTGGGAGACTCCAGCCTCAACCAGTGGAAATTTATTAATGAGAAGAAAGGTCATAAGTGAGAGAGAATGGATTTGAAAGTAGAGTTTGGATTCCATTTATTAAATAGCAGATAACATTTTTACATGATAGTCATATTTATGTAGTAATGTCTGTGTCATAAGTGTGCTTTCATTTATATGTCTATGCAGATGCACTGGGAACATGACTCTTAAAGCTGCTGCTTACTTACCTCTTAGAATAGTTTTTCTAGTCTTGCTACCTTGAAAAGATGTCTTGCCTTGAAGCATGTGTGTGATATTATTTTAATTTGAAACTGGTGCCGTTTCAATTTACTTCTCCCCTCCTTTTTATAAAATGCCCTCCCCCCAGCCCCCCAACAATTGGAAACACTCTATAGTAAGTTAACTTTTAGCATGGGAGCATTTGCAGTGAAGTGTTAACATTTCCCAGATTAATTAGCATGTAAAAACCAGCAACCACTTTACCATCTTTGAGGAATGATATGATGAGGTCTACTTAAATAAGACTTTCCTGTGACTGGAAGTCCCACTTGTGAAATGTGGCTGAGTGTCCTCAGAGAAGTTACTCAGGAGATAAAATCCTTTATATGTCAACTATTTTTAGATGTATTTTGACAGGTACATTATACTCATCTTACTAGAATACTGTACTATTTAATTTTGGTGACTAAGTACTATGGACCTTAGTTTTCTATGCTGTATTGGCTATTGGCACATGTTGGACAGTTTGTGCATGAAATTGCCGCAGACCAGTGGAGATTTGATAGTATTTCATCTTTTTCCTTGCTGCACTTTCTTGCTGCCTGTGATCTACTTCAGCGGTCGCCAGCCTTTTGGACCTTACGGACCACCGGTTGGTGACGGCTGATCTACTTGACCAACCCCCACTGCTGTTTCTAATCTGTGTTTTCTAAACGAGAGGCAAGCTTAAGATTTCATTGGGGAATCAGACAACAAGCCTTCTTAAATTGCCCACTCTATCATCTGAGTCATTGGTGACAATAGGGTGGGCCTAGTCAAGAATGAAGGCACACTGTGCAGAAGGGATTTTGTAATTACCACTTAAATAGGTCTAGTGGGCAAGGTTAGAATCTTTGAAGTCAGAGTGCTTATGATGCTAGATAGTAGCTTTGAATTCTTACCAAAGGACTGAAGCTTGCCTGGTGAGTAAGGATAGTGCTGGATCACAGGCAATTTTACCCAGAAGACAATAATCATATGGTTGGCATAAGGACATGGTGTATCTTGCTTCTCTTTGAGATTATGTATTATGACAGTGTCAACTGTTTAATGTAAGTGGGCTCAGTCTTTAGGCTTAAGCCTAGTCAGTGCCCTATAGCTACTTGTTAAGTATATCATGATACGGGAAATGTGAGACAAGCATCATTGATAGGTTTCTCCTGAGGTTGAAAGAGTTTAAAAAGTTTTAGTGTGTTTTCAGTTATTGACTTTTTTACTTATATGTATTCCAATAATATGTGCAGTAAATGCTTGGTAATGCTGTCACTAATTTGGTATCTTATGTTGTTAAGGGAGTGGTTTTACAATATTCTTGACTTACTGGTACTTTCTATCAATTTTAAAATTGTAAGACTTAAAATTTTGTAAATTTAAATTGTAAAATCATCACAATTGTAATTATAGAAACATTAAATTTGTAATAAACTTTTCACAGCTGGTGAGTCTGAAAATTAACTTCTAAAACATGTTCCCAGGGTGGAATATAATTGCTCCACAGTGTTTCATGAAAAAAGAAAAAGATCTGAGATGGATTGTTGTATTTATCACTTGGGCTAGGTTCCCAACTTGGTTATGCAAAGTGCACATCAGCTTTTTGAATTCTCTGAGAAGTCCAGCTGGAACCTAAAGTGATTTGTTCTCAGCCCAGCATCTCCCAGTCTTTTGGATATTCTTAACTCCTGTGGAGTAGTTTAAGAAAAGCTCTTTTAGAGAATCTATATATATCTACACTAATAAAAGAGAAACACGGTAATTGGCGTATGACCGCTACCCTTCCCATTGGCTAATCAGCGAGATATGCAAATTAACTGACAGCCAAGATGGCGGCCGGCAGCCAGGCAGCTTAAACTGAACATGAGGCTTGCTTGCTTCAGTG